TTTGCTTTTTTTATTATTTGTTATTTTTTTTTGTTTTTTTGTTTTTTTTTATTTTTTTTAGTGTTCTATATTTTTAGTTTAGATTTGTTTTTAGCGTACCTGCTGCACTGTCGGAGATCAGCAGCTCGCCGAGCCGCTGGGAGGCGAGGAGCCCCTGCTTGAGGCTCTCGACCTCTTGAAACACTTCTGGAGCATCTTGCAGCCCGGCGACGCCGAAGACTAGTTGCTGATGATCTTGATGATGGATGCTGTAGTTGAGGTCCGTTAGCCTATTGCGTAGCCAACGTAGAGGTGCTTCTAGGGATTTCCAGCATGATCTAGCTTTAGCGTCTTTGTGCTTGGCTCTTACCCATTTGATGATAGGGGGGCTGGCTCTTGGAGTAGAGGAGTGCTTCAGCGGAGTGTCCGTTGCTCGGCTAATAGTCTGCTCCAAATCTTTGACGACCGTGAAATAGACGACGTCTAGTACTGCTTGCTTCTGCTTCTGGCTGAGAGGCTTGGCGGCATCAGCTAGTAATTCATCTGCATAGTCTAGTGCGCTTGCACTCTGAGTCCAGGCCAGCTGCTGGGGCTGAGGCCCGAACGGCCGTGTTGACGGCAGCCTCTGCGGCCGAACCAACACTGGGATCATGAAACTGTCGGAATCCGAGAGGTCGAGACACACTGGCCTGTGAGGAGACATCGGATAGTTGGCCCACGTGCGGGCCTTGTCGACATATTCGCTGAGCGTCTTACTGATAATGAAATAGTCCAAGACCGATTGAGTTTTCTTCACACGGAAGGTTGGGCTCGATGGGGCAACCACTTGAAGGGAGGCCCTGTGGAGGTAATCGAGGCTCTCGATCCTGGGCGGCGATAAGTTGAAGTCTCCAGCAACGATGATCGGGACCCGCTCCTGATCCTGCTGGACGGCGATGTCTGCTAACAGGCCTAGGTTGACTTCCCCAAGCCCGCCAGCTGCTTTGAAATACGCGCACATGAGCCCTAGACGAGGTAGGCCAGGGAGCTCCAAAAGTAGACCAGTTAAGCGACTACGGTCCACTGTGCTCCTGAAACTCATGTTGGATATGCCAATGTCGAGGTTGGCTCTGACTAGAATGGCAACACCGCTTACAATCTGCTCATTGTCATTGAGTGCTGCTGGTGAGATATGCGCCAACCAACCCGTTGATTGGCACCACTGAACTTGCTGCGAAATGACATCCCCATCTCTGAGCTTGTGTTCCTGGACACAAATCAAAGAACAGTCACGGGCAGCACGAGATTTGATGAACTGCTTGAACGTGGGCCAGCAGCTCCCGTTGAACGTGACGATGCCGAGCTTGTTAAAGAGACGGCGTCGGCGCCCCTGAGGCCACGGCCTGCACAGCTGCCGCGGCACCGCGCACCTTCTTGGCCCTCTCGTCATCGGTGCCGTGGGAGGCCATGAGCTCGGAGAGCTGCGACAGGCTTTCGGCTGTGCGCCGATGGCCTGCAAAGTTGTGGGGCATCTCCTCATCATGTAGATCACGAGCTGCCACTTCTTCTCCACTGCCGACCGACATCGTCTCAGCTGCATCACGCTCGGCGGCGGGCACGCCACGGGCTGCGGCGGCGGAGGGGGGCCCAGGCCATGGCGATCCGCCGAGGCCTGCCGCACCCGCGCCAGGCGCTGGCGGTGGCCCCCCGATGCCGCCGCTGTCGCCTCCCGCCTGCGCCCCCACGGCTGCCAGGTGCTGCTGCTGAAGCTGGTCGAACAACTCGGCGACCTCCTGCACCTTGGCCGTGAGCGCGGGCGGGATGCAACCACCCTCTGGAATCTTGGACTGAAGGGCGGCGCTGAGCAGACCTTGCACGTTGGAGTCTGCTGCCACCTCCTGTGCTGCTGCTGACGCTGCCACTGCACGCTGCGCTTCCAGCATCTGAAGTTCTTCACGAGCCTCAGCCTGGTCATGCAACTTCGATTTATATTCATCTGCCATCTTCTCGATCGAGGACGCCAAATCTTCGAGCTCGGTCTCGTAGCTGGCGAGCTTGCTCTTGATGGCATTGATTTGGCCCGTGAGCGATTGAGTCTGCTGGTCCAAACTCTTGCCCCTGAGCGCGTGCATCTTCGCTTGCTTGAGGTACTCCACTGCGTCGAGATATTCTTTCTTGTCGACTCCAACCCACTTGCGCCAGAATGAAACCTGTGCCTGAGCCAACGCCACTGGATCAGGCGGTCCCTCCTGGGACTTGGGTGCCTCCTCTGCCGCCTCAGCAACGGCGGCCTGAGGTGGCGGTCGGGAGCCGCCTCTGCGCGGGCCTCTAGGACGGAAAGCGTCGCCATCTGCCTTGTCACCCTTGGAGCCATCCTGCTTTAGGCTGGACCCACACAGAGAACACCACTTCTTGGGAGCCCATTCCCAACCACGGCAGCCACGCTTAGAGCAACAAGAATAAGAGCCCTTGCCCATGGCGGCAGCCTGCGCGGGTGCGGGAAAAGGAATGTAATAGTGGCCAAAATCAGTGAAGCCTGCGGGCCGCTGAATGGTGCAGCGTCGGGAGCAGGCTTTTCGGAAGTCGGCGCTGATGCCCCTCGAGGGGCGGGGATTCCGCAGATTGCGACTTGAGCCAAATGGCTACGGAGGAGGAGGAGGAGGAGGAGGAGGAGGAGGAGGAGGAAAAATGAGGGAGACGGGAGGAGGAGGAGGAGGAGGAGGAGGAGGAGGAGGAGGAGGAGGGGAGGAGAGGAGGAGGAGGAGGAGGGAGGAGGAGGAGGAGGAGGAGGAGGAGGAGGAGGAGGAGGGGGAGGCGGGAGGGGAGGAGGAGGAGGAGGAGGAGGAGGAGGAGGAGGTAAGGAGGAGGAGGAGGGAGGAGGAGGAGGAGGGAGAAGGGGAAGAGGAGGAGGAGGAGGAGGCAGGAGGAGGAGGAGAGGAGAGGAGGAGGAGGAGGGAGAAAGAGGAAAAGGGAGGAGAGGAAGGAAGAGGAGGAGGAGGGAGGAGGGAGGAGAGGAGGGTAGGAGGAGGAGGAGGAGGAGGAGGAGGAGGAGAGGAGGAGGAGGAGGAGGAGGAGGAGGAGGGGAGGAGGGGAGGAGGAGGCAGGAGGAGGAGGAGGAGGAGGCGGAGGAGGAGTAGGAGGAGGGGAGGAGGAGGAGGAGGAGGAGGAGGAGTGAGGGGGAGAGAGGAGGAGGAGGAGGAGGAGGAGGAGGAGGAGGGAGGGAGGGGAGGAGGAGGAGGAGGAGGAGGAGGAGGAGGGGAGGAGGAGGGGGAGGAGGAGGAGGAGGAGGAGGCAAGGAGGAGGAGGAGGAGGAGGAGGAGGAGGAGGGGGAGGAGGAGGCGTGTCTCGCTCAGAGGTTCCAAGACACTCCAAAGCGCGGCTGGCGCCACCACCCTGGAGGATCCCACCTGATGCTGAGGGAAAACACGGCACAGGGGTAAGACGGTTTTCTGTACACGTGCCAAGAATGTTTACCCGGCCCAGAAGTGCGTTAGCCTTGCTGCCGCCATCGCCGTTGCCATCGACAGAACCTATGCCGAGCAGTGTGATGCTGACTACCTTCCATCGGACGACGCATCGCTTACGGAGGATCTCTGGCGCTTCTATGTGGCCGTGGTTGACGACGGTTTCGCCCCTGCTCCCGATTTCGCTAAACCCATTGGCAGAACATCCAGAGCTGATCCCGAGAGACATCGTTTCTACCCAGATTCGGAGTTTCAAGACGACGACGACGACGACAGCACCACTCCCGAAGCTTCGACGCAGAATCAGGAGGACACAACTTGTGATCCGACTCCTGCCCCGACTCCTGCTCGTGAGTTGCCCTCTTCTCCCCTGTTTCCCTCGGGTCTGGCAGAGGACGAAGCCGTCGCCGAAGCGTTTTTGGGGCACTCCCCTCCTCTCTCCCCTCGGCTTCCGCCGCCTCCGCCTTCCTCGCCTCCTCCCCTCAGCGACGAGCAGCTCGCTCGCATCGCTGCCAACCGCGCCTTCGCCCGCCAGCGCAGGCAGGCTCGCGCGGAGGCCCGGCAGAGAATGGCGCCATGGTGGGGCACCTCCCTTTCTTGCAAGGCGCACTTCGAGGCTCGCCCCGCTGGCCTTCCTTCCTTTGCAGCCCTGGAGGATTAGGCCACATGTGGAACCCTCCTTTCCAGCATGAACACGGACCCATTCCCAAGTCAGCGTCTTACCTGCCTACTTGCCTACCTACCTATCTACCTCCTTCTCCTCCTCGTCCTCCTCTCCTCCTCCTCCTCCTCCTCCTCTCCTCTCCTCCTACTCCACGTTACTCCTCCTCCTCCTCCCAATCATCCCCTCTCCTCCCTCCCACCACAATTTATTAAATATATATACTCTCCCTATTCCATGATGGCGTACCGGGTGTGGCGTCGCAACCCTCCGCGTACGTTTTTTACCACAGGCCGGCGTCCAGTTGTGTCCCAAAATGATGTCTCTCGCTGAGGAGCCGGCCTCATTTCTGTTCCCGAATCGTTCCGAATCGTGCTCCCGCTGCAGCGTGGGCCTCATTTTCGGATCGGTGTTTGGCCTCCGTCGTTCAGGATGGCGTTCTCGCCCAGCGCGGGCCTCTTTCTCGCGCGCCCATCCGCCCGCCACCACCGCGCCGCACCACCACCACCACCACCACCACCACCAGCACCACCACCACCACCACACAACCACCACCAGCACCAGCACCACCACCACACAGCACCACACAGCACAGCACCAGCACCAGCACCACCACAAGCACCACCACCACCACCACCACCACCACAACCACGCACACACCACGCACGCACGCACGCACGTGCACCACCACCCACTACGCACGCGCGCGCGGAGCCACAGGTCCGCTACGACACGCGTCCGCGGATAGAGAAAATCAGCGCCATGGTAAGGGATGGGAGGGAGGGGTAGGACGTCAGATATGACGCGAGTGCACCTAGCTTGTCCTCCTCCTCCTCCTCCTCCTCGTCCTCCTCCTCGTCCTCCTCCATAAGAAAGCACTTTCCTTGGGGCGCATTCCTCCCAGTCGGCCAGAACAGGTGGCGGAGCTGCTGCGGCTCGGGCTGCGCGGCGGTGGCGGAGGCGCAGCCGACGCGGAGCTCGCCTCTGGCATCGAGGACCGCGGTGGTGCGGTGTTCCTTTGGGCGGTGTCGTCCGCGCCGGTCTTCGCCGTCGACGACGTCGGCGAGGAGGCCGTCGCCGACGACGGTGGCGAGGTCGGCGTTGCTGTCGACGACGACGACGACGACGACGACGACGACGACGACGACGACGACGACGACGACGGCGACGACGACGACGGTGACGGCGACGACGGCGACGACGGCGACGACGCCGCCGACGACGACGACGACGACGACGTTGTCGCCCCTCCGACGACGAGGTAACCGCCGATGTTGACGGCGAGTCGTCATTGCCGTCGTCGGCGTTGTCGTCGGAGAGGAGGTCGACTGCTCCGTCGGCGACGACGACGTCGGCCACGTCGCCGATCCGACGGCGACCCCTCCCTGCGCGGCACATGCCCCTCTTCTGGGGGTGGGGGGCGCGGGGGGCAGGGCACTGGCCCCCGTCGTTCGTGGAGGTTCGGCCTCCCCTCTCCCGGGGCCCCTCGCCGTCGCCCCCGCGCGTCTCTCGGGAGGGAGAGAGACACACAGACACAATTCATCGACGATCCCCAGGAAAACATGGAAAAACAGGGGAAGTCGGGGGGGAAGACAAAAACACTGAGAATATGGGAAAATATATATGGGGAATCCTTGGATTAGTGTGTATTCATTTGTGTGCCCCAGGGCCCCCGCGCGTCTCGAGTGAGAGGCCGCACGAGCAGGAGCCTCTCGGAGGTCCGCGCGGCTCCGTGGCTCTGCGCCGGGGCTCCTCCCCGGCGGGCGCCGTCGTGGCTCTGCGCGCCGTCGTGCCGCGCCCCGTGCACCTGGCATCGCTCGGACGTGTGCGTTTGTTTCTCGGCGAGGACCATCGAGGAGTATCCTTGATCATTTGGGGAACAAGACCACGCACGAAACCGAGCAAAACACAGGGAGTGGACGTCCGAGCGATGGCGAGTGCCAGGGCCCTCCGGGAGACAGGAGTCCAAGGGTGATCGTGCTTCGCGCGTGTCGCGGCCTGGGTCGGAGAGTCGGCCTTCTCCAGGGCGGCAGGGCGGCGCGGGCGCGGGTGCGCGGAAACGGCCGTGCGCCGCGCCACTGGAGGAAGAGAAGTACGCGTGAGCTCGTGAGGGTCTGCGCGGATGTCTTGGATCCGCGCCAGATGTCCGCGCATGCGCAGTTGATCCCTTGCACAACCACCAGACGTTACGAAAACACCAAAAACCATGGCCAAGCCTCTGGGACGAGTGCATCATTCATATGTCCGCGCATGCGCAGTTGATCCCTTGCACAACCACCAGACGTTACGAAGACACCAAAAGCCATGACCAAGCCTCTGGGGCGAGTGCATCATGCATTGCCCCCTCACCCTCCCTGGCGCGCGGAAGCGCCCGCCGCCAGGGGGGTCCAGCGCAGATCCGAGCAGTCCGCACGGACCCTTCCCGGCGTCAGCCAGCATCAAGCCGCTCCGCGAGCCCGCGGCGGCGCGGAGACGAGCGCGCTCCTCGCGCCGCGTGCTGGGCGAGGGGCGCTGCCCCTCTCCAGGGGGCGGCTCGAGGGCGCGAAGATCATCGCGCGTCGCACGTCGCGGGGCGCGATGCGCGAAGTTCGGCGACCTGGCGTTGGGAGGTGTCGGATTGGGCCCTTCGGCCACCAGGAGAATAGGGGAGCAAGTAATGGCATATAAGCACAGCAACTCTGAGGTCCGCGCGGATTCCTCGGACGGGCGCTGGAGCCCCCTGGCGGCGCCGCCCCCGGCGCGCTCCACGCGCCAGGGGCGGGGGTCCAGCGCCTGCCTGAGAAGTCCACGCGGACCTCCGAGGTTTCCTTGTTCCTTGGGAAGTCCGTGCAGGCCCTCGGAGGTCTGTGTCTGTGCCGCTTTCTGCCTCCCTCCAGCACCGCGAGGGGGCGCGAGGCCCGGGGGCCCAGGCGATCTCGGGGAGGCCCCCCGACGTGCAGATCTCTCCTGTGGAGCAGGTTTTCAAGGCCTCCGGACTTCCTCGCGGCAGAATTCGTTGGCCCGCAGGGGCCTTCTCGCCTCTGGGTGCTTTCCTGCGGCTGCGCCTCGTCGAGACCCTTCTGGGGGGCCCAGTTGTCCCGAACGGCCGCCAGAGACCCGAGTTCTAACTCGAAGGTTGGGCATATTCGACCGCTTCAGAACCGAGGCTCGAGGATCGAGGATCGAGCCACCTCGCAGGATGATGATTCAGAAATTACCGGGGATCGTGTTTACGCGGCAGCGCCCAGGATGATGATTAAAAAAGCGACCCCCCAGCTGGGAAATTGCTTTTTCATCGTTCCCTCCCTCCCGCCCTCCTCGGGCGTGCGCCTGGTCAGTCGACGGGCCAGACAGAGCCGAAGCGAAGCGGAAGCCAGAGATGGGGAAGTCGTTGTGTGAGTCGTTCCCCCCGCACTCTTCTACGAATCGTCATCTCCTTCGAGCAGGGAATCGATTACATAATCCGTGTACCGCAAACTTGATTTCCCCCATCGAACCCACGAAAAAAAAAGTACGCAGGACTGTCGCAGGTCATCCGCAGATCCGACGAGAGATTGAGTTTGTTGGGTGCAGCAGTTCCGTTGTCGATCCCCTGCTCGACTCAACCTCGGGCTCGGATGTCGCCCCACTGCCAAAGGAGGCCGGGCAGCCGCGCGTCGAGCGCGCGGCTGCGGCGCTCTGCGCCCGGGTGGACGTCGGGCGCGCCGCGGCCGCCGCGGCCCTGTGCCGCGCCGCGGGCGTGCGGGCCGTGCGCAGGCTGGCCTCGGAGGGCCAGGCGGCCAGCGAGGCTCGCATCCTGGCGGCGCGCCGGAGGGTCGGTGCGCAGGCAGGGTCTCGGGGCGTCCTGGCAGAGTTACCGATGCCGCTGCCCCTCCCCTGGCGAAGCAGCAGGTCACCACCCACACCAGGCCACCCCAGCCCGGCCCGAAGGCCCAGATTTGATCCTCGATTTTTCCAGTGGGGGGGGGTAGGGGAACATTGAAAAAACACACATGGAACCCGTACCCCCCCCCCCCCCCAACCCGAAGTTCGAGTCCGATTCGGGTCTTCGGGTTGGGTTGGGGTGGCCTGGTGGGCAGTCAGTAAGGCGCACGAGGCCGCAGGGTGCACGGGGAGCGGGCGTCCGAGCGATGGCGAGTGGGGTGCCGAGGCCTCCCAGATGGGGTCGGAGCGGATGGGGTCGGGGCATCGCGCACACGGGGCGCCGAGGCCTCCCGGGATGCCAGGAGGGGAAAGTGCACACCTTAGGCGATGCTTAAGAAAACCTAAATTTTCGGCCAGAGTCTCGATTATTCTTAACGTTTCAATGTAAATCCTAAGCTTTTAATGAAAATGTTGGGTTTTTATTCAAGTTCTGAGACTATGAATTTCTTAACCCATGATTTCTTAAGCATTTCGCAGGGTGTACCGCTGCCGCCGCCCCTCCCTCGTCTTGGCCCTGGCGTGTCGGGGGCGGCGAAGAGGGGGGTGATGACTAGGGGGGGGGATCTCATGGCGGGGGCCATGCTATTTCCCCAGATTCTACGGCGCCTCTTCTTGTTTCATTGCGTCCCTGGCCCCCCCGCTGGGCCGCGCACATGCCGCCAGTCATGATTTGCACCCCCCCCTCTTGGACACCCCCCTCTTGGCCGCTCCCGAGTGTGGGCCTCCTGGGAGGCCCTCGTCGCCACGGCCGGATTCGCTGCGGAAGGCTGCTCTGGAGCGCGCCCGCGGCAGCGGCATCTCTCGGTTTCCCCAGGGCGGGGGTCGGAGCGGGTGGGGTCGGAGGGTCGCTCCGCGTCGCCGATGCATCGGCGATGCGGCTCGATGTGGGGCCGGATTCTCTCCACGCTGGCGACTCGCCGCCGATGCGTCGCCGACGTCGGCGATGCATCGCCGATGCATGGGCGACGCGGCGCGATCCTCCGACCCCACTTGCTCTCCGACCCCATCCGGGAGGCCTCCAGGGTCGGGGCTCACGCGACGGGTCATCAAGGCAGGCGGGGGTCAGCCAGAGCCGCCGGACCTTGCAGGATCCTGCAGGGGCAGGCGCGCACGGACCTGGGACGGCTACTCATCCGGTCACCTCACTCCTCCTCCTCCTCCTCTCCTCCTCCTACCTCCTCCTCCTACCCTCCCTTCCTTCGTCCTTTTTTCCTCCCTTATCCCCCTCTCCCTCTCCTCCTCCTCCTCCCTCCTCCTCCTCCCCCTCTCCCCATCCCATCCCCCTCCTCCTCTCCTCCCTCCTCCTCATCCTCCTCCTCCTCCTCCTCATCCTCCTCCTCCTCCGTTTGCTTTTCGCTCGAGGGCCCGCTGGGCGATTGGACGATTGGACTGATTTGACGTCTATCCAATATTGGAGCTGATTGGATGGAGTCGTAGTAATGGATCCCATAGGAAGATTGGCGGGTTGGAAAATAGGATACTTTCCAATATGGAGATCCAATATTGGACCCCAGGTCCAATATTGGACCTGAGGTCCAATATTGGACCTCGGTTGGAGAATTCTCTGGGTTTTTGTGCGCGTGACGATTTCCCAATCCGGAAGTCCTATATTGGACCCCAGGTCCAATTTGGAACCCGATTTGACCCATCGGAAGGTCCAATGTTGGACCTTAAGTCCAATATTGGACCCCGGGTCCGTTATTGGGCCCGGAGAAGAGGTATGAGAGGCGGATGAGAGAGAGGGAGGGAATCAATGAGACAAGAGGCGACGGAAGGAGGGTTCGTTCAGGGAAACGGGTCCTGAGGGGAAGGAGTCCTGATCCTCGGGCTTCTCTCCCAGGACGAGTCCTGCATCCCGAGGCGTTCTCCGACGCTCCCAGGGTCCGTGGAGGGCCCCGAGAGCCCGGGAGCGGCGGAAAACCTTCAGGTACGCCGTCCTCGAGCACGAGCACGAAGCCATATGCCGTTCGGCGCGTAGGCAGGAACGACAAAGTGGACTCGAGAATGCAATGCTTGCGCTCAACAGGGCTATAGGAGGAGGAGGAGGAGGAGGAGGAGGAGGAGGAGGAGGAGGAAGGACGAAAGGACGGAAGGACGGAAGGACGGAAGCAAGGAAGGAAGGAAGGAAGGGAAAGCAAAGCACCCCCGGACCAGCTTTCCCTCAGGACCACCTGTTTCCCTCCGGACCACTCTGCTCCCACGTCTCAGGAGGGGAAAAACACACAGACACAATGAAGCGTCGACTCCCAGGACAATAAAGGAAACTATGGGAAGCGGGGGGGAAGACGGAAACCCAGAAATTATGGAACGACATGGGAAATCCTGGGTGTTTGCGTGTGTGTGTGCTTATTTGTGTGTCCTTGAGCCCACGACCCTCGCCCGACTCGTGAGCACTCCCTGGCCCGGCCATGCCACCGCCCGCGCGCCTCTGGGCCTGGCGCGCGGGGCCTCCCTGCTCTCGCCGCCCGCGACCCCGGGGACGACAGCAACCGAAACGCGAGCGAGGGCCGCGCGCTCGGGGAGCTCAACGAAAGGGGGAGATAGGGAAAGGGGGGGTTACGAAATCTGCTGGATGCAGCTGGTTTCGGCCTGCCGCCGGGCCCATTCCTCGATACAGGGGCGCCTCTGGCGCTGAGAGGCGCTGGGAAACGCAAGCTGATTCTCAACCCCCCCTTTGCTATCCCCCCCCTTCGCCCGGCTGGAAAGAGGAGGGTGATGACCAGGGTTAAGTCGGGCGTGTCCCTCTGCAGGAGGAGTACTCAAAAATAGTCCACACAGTCCAGGGGACGATTTTTGGTGTATTTTTTTGGTGGGGGGTTCAGGGCCCCGGGACCCTCACAGATCGATGCGGCTCGAAACATAGCGCAGAAAGACGGGGTCCGGAGCTCCGGGCGCGGATATCCACGATGTTGCAATTCCTTCGCTACGTCGGATCTCAGGGAAGAGGAGGTGATGATTGGGGGGGGATATCATGGCGGGGGCCATCCTCAGACATGATCGCGGCGTTAGACAAATAAGGGCGGCACATGTTTGGCTATTTTGGGCCCCTGGAGGTCCTCGCCGGGCCCCGGGACCGTCAAACAACGACTCGGGACGAAACACCGGCCCCAAGGAAAGGGTGGACTTCCAGGGACGCCGCATTGAAAAAATCAGGACGTCGCATGTCTTGGACTAGTGACTAGGAGGAAGGGATATCATGGCGGAGCCATGATCTTTCCCCAGATTTCATGGCGCCTCTTCTTACTTCATTACTTTCCCTGGTCCCCTCCCTGGGCCGCGCACGTACCGCCGGCCATGATGTGCCCCCCCCCCCCCCACCCCTCTTGGACGCCTCCCCTTCGTGGCCGCTCCCGGCGAGCGCGCGCGGGCTCATCGGGCGGAAGGGTACTGATGCGGGTTCCCCTGCTTCGTCCTCGCTTTTCGAGCGGGTGGTACTGGGGGGGTGACTTCAAATCGGGGGTGAAGAGAAGGGCCCTGGAGTGGTCATTTCGGGCCCCTTCTGGAGCAAGCAGGGGCCCAAAAGGGCTCCTTGAGGGCCTTTTTCTTCACTCCCGCTTTTCGTCACACTACATTACCACCCGCCCGATTTTTTTCCGGGACCTCCTGGGAGGCTCTCGTTGCCACCGCTGGTCGGGGGCGGCCAAGTGGGGGGTGATGACTAGTGGGGGAAGATATCATGGCGGGGGCCACGATCTCCCCAGAGTTCACGGCGCCTCTTCTTGTGTCACTGCGTTCAGGAGGAGGAGGAGGAGGAGGAGGAGGAGGAGGAGGAGGAGGAGGAGGAGGTGGCGCGGGGTCCTCGAGGGCATCTCGGAACACTGAGTAATTGGACCCCCAGGAGGCAGAGGCATCTCCGAGGTCAGAGTTGTGAGTATGCGGAGGGTGGGGGGGGGAGGAGGAGGGAGGAGGAGGAGGAGAGGAGGAGGAGGAGGAGGAGGAGGAGGAGGAGGAGGAGGAGGAGGAGGAGGAGGAGGAGGAGGAGGAGGAGGAGGAGGGAGGAGGACGAGGAGGGAGGGAGGGAGATGAGGAGACGAGGAGGAGGAGGAGGAGGAGGTAGGAGAGGAGGAGGAGGAGGAGGAGGAGGAGGAGGAGGAGGAGGAGGAGGAGGAGGAGGAGGAGGAGAGGAGGCGGAGGAGGAGGAGGAGGAAGAGGAGGAGGAGGAGGAGGAGGAGGAGGAGGAGGAGGAGGAGGAGGAGGCGCGGGGTCCTCGAGGGCACTCGGAACACTGAGTAATTGGACCCCCAGGAGGCAAAGCATCTCCGAGGTCAGAGTTGTGAGTATGCCGGAGGGGGGGGGGGAGGAGGAGGAGGAGGAGGAGAGAGGAGAGGAGGAGGAGGAGGAGGAGGAGGAGGAGGAGGAGGAAGGAGGAGGAGAGGGATGGAGGAGGGAGGAGGGAGGAGGGAGGAGGAGGAGGAGGAGGAGGAGGAGGAGGAGGAGGAGGAGGTAGGAGGAGGAGGAGGAGGAGGAGGATGGAGGAGGAGGAGGACGAGGAGGAGGAGGAGGAGGAGGAGGAGGAGGAGGAGGAGGAGGAGGAGGAGGAGAGGAGGCGGAGGAGGAGGAGGAGGAAGAGGAGGAGGAGGAGGAGGAGGAGGAGGAGAAGGAGAAGGAGGAGGGGGAGGAGGAATTTCCTCGAGGGCGTCTCGGAACACCGAGAGAGGGTCCAATATTGGAGCCAAGCGCAAAATTGAGCCCCAGGTCCAATATTGGACGTCCGGTTTGGAAAATCGGGAGGCGTGGAAAGCCCCGGCGACACGTCCGAACGCGGGTCCAATATTGGCCCTGGCGGTCCATTTTTGGAGCGAGGGTCCAATATGGGAAACCAGAGAAGTCTCGGAAGCAGGGTCCAATATTGGACCCAAGTCCAACATTGGACCCCAGGTCCAATATTGGACATCTGGATTGGACAGTATCCAATATTCCAATTTACCAATTTTCCAACGCTGTCCAATCCGAGCGGGCCCCTCCCCGAAATGAGAAACCCTCCTCCTCCTCCTCCTCCTCCTCCTCCTCCTCCTCCTCCTCCTCCTCCTCCTCCTCCTCCTCCTCCTCCCTCCCTCCCTCCCTCCCTCCCTCCTCCTCCGCGGGCGCAGCACGGCATGAGACAAGTGCGTCCGTCTGGGAGGCTTCTGGAGGAGGCCTCGAGGGCAGGCTCGAGGTCCGCGGACTTCTTTCGGGCGCTTTTCGGCCGTTCTCGGCCGCGTTCCATCCTCGTGCCCCGTCCGTCGCAGGGCAGGCTCGAGGTCCGCGGACTTCTTTCGGGCGCTTTTCGGCCGTTCTCGGCCGCGTCCCTTCCTCGTGCCCCGTTCGTCGCCAGGGCCGGGCGCGGCTCGGCGTCTCGCAGGAGGAGGAGGAGGAGGAGGAGGAGGAGGAGGAGGAGGAGGAGGAGCAGCAGGAGGAGCAGCAGGAGGAGGAGGAGGAGCATCGGCCGCGTCGCGAGAGCGACTTGGGGCCGCGCTCGAAAGGAGGAGGAGGAGGAGGCGGAGGAGGAGAGGAGGAGGAGGAGGAGGAGGAGGAGGAGGGGGGAGGAGGGGGAGGAGAGGAGGAGGAGGAGGAGGAGGAGGAGGAGGGGGAGGAGGAGGAGGAGGAGGAGGAGGAGGAGGAGTGGAGGAGGAGGAGGAGGAGGAGGAGGAGGAGGAGGAGGAGGAGGAGGGGGAGGAGGGGGAGGAGGGGGAGGAGGTGGAGGAGGGGGAGGAGGGGGAGGGGGAGGAAGACGAGGAGGGGGGGAGGGGGAAGAGGGCCAGCGTGGGCCCCCCACCCCGGGCGCGGGCTGCGGGGGGCGGGCGGGGGGGGGTGCTGGCCGGAGGGGAGGCGCGGCGTGCCGAGGAGGCGGGAGGCGTCCCCCCCCCCCACGCGTGCTCGCGCCGCAGAGAACCCGCGGCGGGGTGTTGTTGGCCGTCTGCGAGACCCTTGGCATCGTTCGGGCGTGTGCATTTTTTTCTCGGCGAGGACCATCGAGGAGCATCCTTGATCATGGTGGCGAGAGAACCACGCACGAGACGGAAAAAACAAGCACAGGCACTGGACGTCCGAGCGATGGCGAGGACTTCCTGGGGGCCTTCGCTCGGCCCCGGGGCCGCCAAGAGGCAGCTCGGCTCGGGGCGAAGAGCGGGCCCTCGGGAGAGGGCTGGAACCAAGGGCGCCTTCGAGGGCGCGAAGTTACTCGCGCGTCGCTTTCTTCGTCGTCGTCGTTGTCGTATCAAATGGCGCAGCGAGGCCATTTTTCGTTCAAACCACCGACGCGGTTCGGCTCCGATCCCTCTTCTTTCTCCTCTTCTCCCTTGCGAGGCGGCGCGAGAGCGCGAAGTTTTTCGCACTTCGCGCTCCGCGCAGCGCGGAGCGCGAAGTCGGGAGCCCTTGCGGAGCTTCTTCTGACGAGCTGTCTCAAGAGGCAGGGGGGGGTCCGAGAAACCCCTTACCTTCTCGAAGGGATGCCCCTCTCGCCACACTCCCTTCTGCGCGCCGCCAGTGCGTGCGGGAGCAGGATCTTCTGGAGGCGGTGTCCGTGCTTTCCGCAGAAAGTCTCGGCCGAGCGACGGAGAAAAGGCCGGGAAGGCCGGGAAGGCTGGACGCAGAAGCTAGGATGATTGTTGATAGCGACGATGATGATGTTTTTTTGTTGCGACGTTGATGGGCATGGTGATGGCGATAATGATGTTGAGTTGACGATGGTATTGTTGATGCTGGTGATGGTGAGTTTGAAGATGGTGCTCTGATGATGAGTACGGTGATTATGAGCATGATGATGGCGATGATGATGTTGCTGATGATAAGTTCGGAAATGATGAAGCTGAATATGGAGATGCGGACTATGATGATCGTGATGGTTATGTTGCGGCTGATGGTGATGATGATGATGAAGATATTGGTGATGATGATGGTGGTGAATGTGAGAATGATGTTGCTACTGATGATGGTTACGATGAATATGATCATCAGGATGGCGATGCTGATGCTGATGATGCTGAGTTTGTTGATGATGATGTCTAAGGCGGATATAAATGTTATGATGTTGATTATGTTGACGATGATGAATATAACGGTTTCGATGATGCTGATGACGACGCTGATGCGCATGCTTGCATGTTCATGCCCATCATGATACTGATGATGATCCTGAGGTGGAGGAGGAGGAATAAGAGGAGGACGAGGACGCGGACGATGACGAGGAGGACGAAGAGGGAGGAGGCAGAGCCAGGATGAGGAGAGGAGGTGGAGGAGGAGGATGAGGACGAGGGGAAGGTGAGGGCGGGGCGCGGTGAGAAAAAAAAAGGGAGGAGGACCAGGATGGCGAAGAGGACGAAGCAGGAGGAGGAGGAGGAGGAGGGAGACTGCGAAACGAAGGAGGAGGGGGAGGAAAAGACAGGCGAGGAGGAGGACGAGGTAGAGGAGGATTTGAAATTATGAGAGAGGACCAGGGGGCATGGGCGCCTGGGGCCAGGGAAGGGGCAGCCAGGGCTGGTCGAAAGGCAGTGAAAACTCGCCCTGGGTACTGGTTGCTCTTAACAAACGCGCCGCGACCCGCGACCCGCGAGCCGACGCCTCTGGAACGCCCTGTTACTTGCAAGCGGACCTTCTCCCACGTAGGTAACGGCGGCAGCTTGGTATCGCTCGGACGTGTGCATTTTTCCTTCGGCAAGGACCATCGAAGAGCATCCTTGATCATTTGGGGACAAAGCCACGCACGAAACCAACAAAAAACACAGGAAATGGACGTCCGAGCGATGGGCAGGCAGCGCCCAGGTGGGCT